CATACTGCGCCAGGCCTTCCGGTCCTTCACTGCCTCCCTGAGTTTGCTCACTTAGTTACTGTATATCTTTTGCATTCTACAGTATTTCTTCACATCTCTAGTGGTTGCATTTTACCAGATGCAAGTTATTGGGTGTATTTATTACGGAATATGCTTATGGAAGTATTTAACTTCATCTGTCTCTGATCGCTATTTCCTGAGAACAACTTACATGAATTTTAAATAATTTTGACACGTAATTCAGAGTGAAAAAGAAATAATTGATTTCCGTAGATTCTTCCAAATAACTTTTGAACTAGGGCAAGAAGCAAGGTATTTGAAACTTTTATTAACCTGTCCTTTTTGTACAGGTTCAATCAAACGCGTCTTCAGCCTGCGTATACTCACTTCCCAGACGATGTGCTTTTTTTTAGGTGCAAAGTCTTCTACAAGAAAGATAATGAATTTAAAGAAAAAGGAGTAGGAACGCTACATTTAAAACCTGCTGGCAACCAAAAGACTCAGTTGTTAATACGGGCAGATACCAATTTAGGTATGTGACATTTCTTAAAACTTGTTTTGCAAAACATGTATTCATTATAGGGCTACGGTACTTTTTTTCAGTCAGTGAATGTCTGATTGGCTAAAAATCTAATTTAAACATATTACAAAAAAGCACAATTTAGAACATAATGTGAAAGTATGATTAAAAATAGCAAAAACACCCAAGATGTTGTTAATATCGTGAGCTAAAAACCTGCCTATGCGTAAAGGTTTGTCTTAAATCAGTGTTTCTCAACCTCGGCAGCTTTAAGATGTGTAGACTTCGGTTCCCAGAATTCTGGGAGTTGGAGTCCCCACGTCTTCAAGCTGCCAAGGTTGAGAAACACTGATCTAAATCAAAATGTTTTACATGTTGTTGGAAGAACAAAAGGGGCATTAACTTGATCCCTTCTAACAGAAAGTTTTTCAGAACTTGCAAGCAGTACTGAGAAAAGCCTTCTGTTGTCTTATCACCAGTGTATCTCTGGTAGCCTAAGAGAAAATCCTCTGCAGAAAATCGGAATGCCTGAGTAACACTAAAAGTCACAATATGGTCTTTTTGCTAGCTTGTCTCAAGTCAAATCAGGCTTTATAGGCCACAACTAAATCCTTGTACTGGGTTCCAAAATAGGCCAGTAATTGGTGAACTGGTTTTAAAAGTTGCAGGCTTAATAACCCCAGCTTAGCTTAGTCCAACTGCAGTTTCCAAACCCATCCTGCCTAAAATTCATTGCAGTACGTCATTCGGGTTGAAAATAAGGCGCAGATCACGTGGCTGGATCTGACTGTGTGAAGTCTCTTGTGCACTGTTGAAACCCAGGCATCCAGGAAACACATCTAAATAACGTACTTGAATCTCCAGAGGAAATGTAACCCTGTCCAGGACAGTTAGATCTGATTTTGAGTGACCAAGTTCACTCTACTTATCTGGATTCAGCTTCAGTTTGCTTCTTATTCAGAGCAGTATGATGACATGCTGTAGGATTCAAGCGGGTCCCTTGCATTTCAAGGAAAATGAGAGAGAGAGATTGGGAGGAAGACCTTCTGAATTAATCTCTGCAAAGATTGGGCATGCTGAAAAGTCGTCCCATTCCATCCAGGAACCTCAAAAGGTTGGTGGTACCAGAAGCCACCACGAAGCCCAGCAAAACCATTATGGGCACCTTCCCCGTGTGAATCATTCATCCAAGACGACCAGAGCAATCCTTATCCAGTGAAGAGAGCTGCACCCGCCCCAATCCTACCCAGTGTTATTTTAATTAGATTTGTATATCCCCACAATCATACGACTCTTGGCATTGTAAAAATGAAAATGAAAGAACTGCATTTTGCTTTGAGACATCCATAGCCTGCAGCAGCATCACTGTTTACAACATCTCTAGGCCCCGTAGGTATTCTTGAAATAGAAGTCTTGCCGAGTTGCAGTCCAAAGTTTTGTGCCCGCCCGACCAAAACAAAGAAAGAAAAAGAGATGGAGTGGTAGAAGGCATTTCTGGAGGCTGAAGGAGGAAGAGGAGGTCGGGAGCAGCCTCAGTTGCCTCCTGGGTCCTGGGTGCTCCTGGCCATTCTGTCCCTGGCAGGCCGTCAGCTCCAGCCCCTCGTCCCTTTTATCCTGCGGTGAAGGCAAGGTGCAAGCACGCCGTGTGCTCTCAGCCTACAACCCAGTCACCTGCGCTCTTTGCACATGTTCTGCAAAGTGGGGTGCATGTCCCAGGAAGATCTATTCCTTTGGTTGGATACCGGTCAGTTCTGACAAACCTTCTCAGCTGCCTGGCATTTCCATCATATTTTGCTTTCTTTTTAAGGGGAAACTGTATCAGCAGCAAACGTCTAAATAGAGATGAAGGATGTGTAAGCTTCTAACATGGGCAAAGCTATAGCTCAACACCCAAGATAATGTCCTTCACCTGGAATTAGCTTTGAGGCGACCTTCTCTTCATGCTCCCTCTCGCTGCGGTGCTGAAATCTGCTAACATGATCGCTAAACGGTGGTGGTGTGGCTTCTCGCTATTTCTAATTTTAAGATGTAACACGGCAGAAAAGACATATAACTCCCACCCCTGCGACCACTACACCGAGAAATCGGGCCCTGCCATTTCATCCCTTTGTCCTCTTTGTTTTGGCCTTTCCGGAAAAACACTGAATGCAGTTCACAATTGATTGCCTGCCTTTGATCTGAGTTGGGAGCGTCGCTTCCCAAAGGAAAGAGGAATCCATCTTAGCTGCCCGAAACTCTCCAGGGCTTCAGAAATAGGTGTTTCTTCTAGAGGCCTCTTCTATTTTGCTGTATTGAATGCATAATCCACAGTAAATTTGATTGCTTTCCCAAACCGTTCTCCTTTGCAGGCAACATACTGCTGAACATTTTGGTGCCTCCCAAGATGCCGTGCTCCAGAACAGGGAAGAACAACGTTCTCATTATTTGCGTTCCAAACCCACCCATCGACGAGAAGAACGCTTCAATCCCTGTGCCGATATTGATAAGAGTGAAAACGCGTGAAGACGCAGATGAGTTACACAAAATTTTGCTGGAGAAGAAGGAGGAGGTCTAAGACTTGGTGTTTTCCATGTCATGTGGAAACACTTCCAAACTGCTGCTGGCCTTTTCCCCACTTGACTCTTAGTAGTAACTTTTTAACTCACTTCTCTGATATTTTAAGGACTCTCTTAGAAATTCTGAAGGGTTTGAATGAGGGAAAGAAATTAAGATGGCCAATAAAAGTTGTAATGTTAGCACGGATCTTTTCTCCCTTCTAATTTGAAATATCTAATGTGCAAACCATCTGTGAATAAACCTTGCATATTAAATACAAAAATCTTTTTCGATTATACATGAAGACTAAAGCTGCTAAAAGCCCCCCAGTGAGTGACATATTAATCCAGAAACGGTGTAGGAAGAAAATTATGTGGGTGAGAAAAAAGGGGTGGGCGTACCGTATTTTCCAGCTGGATCTGAAATCTTTTTTCCGCTAGGTAAAAATTACTATTTGTGTTCTGTTAGAAACTTTGTTTCTAAGTAAGAGCTGATGGAGAACATTGATTATAGTAGGTTCAGGAGATACGTTGAATGTTGTCTGGAGAACAATTCTGAAATAATTGTCATTTCTTGAAACCTAACTGCAAGATTCACCACATTATCTCCAGAGAGGAGCAAGGGCTCAAGAGAAGCTTGAGCAAAAGGTGCAGACTTCATTCATCTTAATTCCAATTAGAACCAGTTGATGGAGAGGTTGGGCGAGCTGATTCTTCCCATTTCATGTCCTTTAGCTCTTCCCAATCTGGTGCTTTCCAGATGTTGAATTTACAGCTGCCTGTCCTCCTGCTAAGTTGGGGGATGCTGACTTTGTCACATTCTGAGTACCCCAGCGGACTCTTAATTTGGCCCACATGTTCTGTGGTCACATTTTATTGGATCAGCAATCTGACCGTGGTTATTTAATGGAGAGAGAATGTTCTAAAAGAAACTGATTGACTCAAGTTATGAACCATCAGAATAAGAACTGGAGTATTGTAGAAGAAGAAATATGAATAAATGCCTTTTTTCACCAGGCTGAAGTTCTGGATATCTTTAAAAGAATGTATGAAATTATTTCAAGAAATGGCCATTCTGAGTTATAGTGAGAGATTATACTGCACAAGCCCTATTGAAATAAATGTGAAATTTGGGGCCTTATGCCTCTCAAATAACTACTGGATTAGTCTGTTAATATTAAAGCGGGTGAGACATCAAAAACGGTAATGTGCATATTAATATTCTGGAAATACTCATATTGAATGGCCAAGAGGGTCAGTAATATTATTCTTATCTTTGAGAAGGTGACTTAATATCCTCTGTGATTTTTTTTTTCTTTTTACTCCAACTGTTTGGATCCTGTCCAAGCAAATTGCCTGCTTTTTCTAGTTAGCAGACAACTAATTTCTGCATACTTCTAATGGCAGTTTTACCTGGAGAGGCTTGGTCTTACAGGAATTTCTTTTTTTTTTTTTTTTTTTTTTTTTTTTTTTTTTTTTT